GGGGAGAATATCCCAGGCAAAAAACAAGGGAACTGATGAGGATTGGTTGCTCTTTCCGAAACCTAGGTATTCCCTGCCTTACCACCTGGTAAACATTACCATCGTTCTCCACTAATAAACAAATGTTGTTTTATAAAAACAACAATAATGGGATTAAGCCTGACGGTTTTTGCAACAACAAAATACTACGGTATCCCAAACAAACATGCCAACACTGTTCGATAACCGAATCTTCTAATCATAAGTCTTCTCCGGGTCATGAAGCCTGCCAAACCAGCTCATCGGCTGACAAGAAGATGGTTGCTTCTCCTCTTCGGAAGAATAGGAGAGCAACTGTAGCTCTCCCCAGCACCGCATCGGTTGTCTCTCCTCATCAGGAGAATTGCACGGCAACTGTTGAGTCCAATCCGGGATTTTCGTCCCAAATGGCGGTTGATACCCTTCCGGTACTTCTGCCCAATAATAAAGAAGTAGGATCCGCTTCTCCTCATCGAGATATTGCACGGGCGCGTTCTGCTTCTTCATGGACTATTCCTTCGGCGTCTCCCCATCGGGAGCTTGCACACGCCATTAATGAAAAAACAACAAATAGTACGGCCACAATTCCTTGTGATAATTGAATAGTGGCAGGATCTAATCGTCCACATTAATGGGCATGCAGAGGAATTTCATGAAACATTGTCCCGAGCTCCACCTTGTGTGAAGAGAATTCGATTTGTGGTACAGAATAATTTCTGTTGGAATTGTTTGACCCGATCACATATTCTAAGAGATTGTTTCAGTGTGCGACGATGCCAGAAGTGCAACAATAACCACCACACCCTTCTCTACTACAACCTGGAGTGTTTGGTTTGGGAACAGAAATTTTTCTGTACCACAATGTGGAACTGTCCGGCCTTCGGGTAGTAGAAACTATGCGTCTCGTGAATTTAATTCGTCGCCCTCGTCCAATTCTTCCGCTAAAAGAACAACCTCTGCTAAACGTCCGTCTGTCCACTCTCATCCGATATCGTCCGCCCCTTCGGGTGCAGTCCGTCTGATAGTTCAGTTCTTACAGCCCATTGTGACTCTGGGGCCAACAATGGTGGTACAAATTGTTCTTCCGGACCGAAAAGTACCAGTTCGAGCGCTATTGGATCCGTGTGCTGGACTTAGTCGTATTTGCTCTATGCTGACTAGTAAACTCCAGCTCAGCTCCTTAGACGTTGGCCATCATTTGTTCTGCCAACTGACTTTCAGTCTTGTCACGACCAGACGCAACTGCTTCGTGTATCCACACTTAGCATGCCTTTGAGACATATGGTCACACCTGCGCAATCTGCTCCAGAGCAATAAAGGAACAATATGCTGGGATGCAACTAGCAGATCCCGAATTCTACAAGTCCGCTCACATCGCACTAATTCTTGGTCCCGATGTGTACCCGAAGGTGATAAAATCACAAACACAATCGAGCCCAAAGTTCCCTTGGGCGTCGCCTAATAATAGCTACATTCTATCTTTTTTTTTTTGAAAATTGTAAAATTTGTTCCAAGCAGAGGAGGGTATTCAAAGTTCGGCCTGGCCGTACTTACAGTTTTTTTCCCTGTTATATATCAGTTGTAAAACCTACCAACAAAATGTGCGTATCAACACCGGCGATGCTACAATTTTCTGAATTTAATAATTTTAAATATATAAAACTAATGTTTTATTAGGTAGCCGAACTTTTTAATTAGGGGCGCTAGAGCTAACTAACGGAACATTGGTGGACCATATCCCGGCTAGTATGGACTTTTGTATATATATTGCTGTATTCAGGACCCCGTGAGGCTCTTACCCCTACGGTTTACCAAAGAAATATTATTTTAATAAATTTACATTGTTTGGAAACCCATTTTTTTTTTGTCGTTCTAATTTCATTGTGTTTGATTTTGCATACTCGTTGGAAAACTGTATACTTCTTATTGTTACAACGTTAACCCGTCAACTAGCAGTTTACTAACGATTATTGTCTGCCCTGACGGCATTATTAATATTCGTATCGGTCAATCGTAACACATATAATAATTTTGCCAATTTTTCTATTTTCCCAAATTTTGTTTACTTATTACCAAAAAAGCGACAGCTTTAATTCACTCCTCCTCTTAAAATATTTTGTTGTTTTATTTCTTTTCTTATATTTATCAGAGCTCAATTTCGATGCATTTACATTTTGGTTCATTCGGATCGGACGCGAGCCTTTAGAAACCTTTGCTAATTGTATTTTGTTTTCATTTACGCAGCAATCAAATAAGTAATAATAATAACAAATCAAAACAAACAAATGTCCAAAACATTAATTTCGTTTTACAACAACCACAAACGAATAATTTTTGAACATTGCAAACAAGTGAAAGTCAATATATATATTGCAAAATATTAATTGTGGAAATAGTGCTTAAACTTAGTTCAAAGAGTGAATTTTTCTATTTGTGAGCAGTGGTAATATTATTGATAAAAAAAATGCAATCTTGTTAACTTTCGATTATTTATGAATAAAAATAAACCACTTATAAATGACTGACTTATAAATGTCAGTGTGTGGATCACACTAAGTGATATTCGCATAATTATTCCTAATATGTGTTGTATGTTGTAAGAGCGTAACGTGGACATTCAATAATTACGAAAATCCTCAACATATATACGCACATACAGCAACCACACACATTATTCTACACACAGTATTCTACTTAGCTTAGACATTTATATTACTATGCTCCTCCTGCATAAGCTTTTTCCTTACAAGGACTCACAAAAGATGTTCTAACGGGGTTTCAATTTGTTCTGCAAAACACTTTCGCTTTATCTTGTTGGTTTGAGGGTTCTTAACTTTCTGGCACCGGATACTTGTTAATGTTTTCATATATCGAAAGACATTCCAATTATTGTATCGATTCTGTGGGCTCTCGCCTTTTTGACGACCGTTACGGGGCTTTATTACATTTGTTTTTATTTTCGCCAGTAACACATTCTTATTAGGCTCGTTGTACAAAAACATGTTTCCCACTCTCATTGCTTTCAGCACCGTTTTCCCCTTGCTTATTATGCTTGCATATTTTTCTCCAAATATTACGTCATCTTTTACTGCTACTTTGCCTGCCGAAATAGGTCAGGCACAAATAACACATCGTTAAGCACAACGTCACACTCATTTATTAGAATTCCCTCCTTCCCATTTGCTAGAATTGTTTTATTACCAGCCAGGGAGATTTCTTCTTGATGTTTCTGAAACGTCGTAAGCAAATTACGGTTAGAGCACAAATGTGGAGTGGCACCGCTATCAAAACGCCAGACGTTCTTATTGAGATTGTTGTTGTCAATCTTCGCCAACTTGTGTACTGATGATTGCCTTTATTCATATTCCTCGGAAAAATTTACTTTCAAAGCGCTAAATTTTGGCAAATCATCACCTTGACTCTAGCGCAACTACAAAATTCTCGAATGTATTTAAAAAAACGCAAATCTGCTCTCGGTGGTTTCTTCGTTCAAAGTGAAACTTATTCTACTTACAAACTACACAAGTTAGTCAATCGTCTATTTACAAGTCAGTGTGTGGATCACACTAAGTGATCTTCACATATTTATTCTTAATGTGTGCTGTATGTTGTATGTTGTAAGAGCGTAACATGGACATTCAATAATTACAACACCTTTCGATTACCATTGTATAAAAGTGCAAAACGTAAAAAACAAGTAAAGAAGCTGCAAATTCGGCCGGGCCGAACTTTGAATACCCTACACCGTTTGAAACGAATTTGGCAATTTTCAAAAGAAAACAAATAAAATCCGTTAAAAACTCTGTTAAAATCATAAAAATATTGAATGTTACCGTTATATCAGGGTCTATACGCGGACCTGCAACTTTTGCCATAAACCATTAAAAATATCGAATATCGGGCGGTACCGTTATATGGGGGCTATGCGAAGACGTTGACCTGCACAGACAATTTTCTGTCATAGGATGTAGTATCCATTACGAACTTCAAATACCAAACTTGAAACAATTCCGGTGAATAATGTTGCTGAATTCTTAAAATACCTAATCATGGGGGTAACGTTATATGGGGGCTATATGAAGACGTGGACCTGTACCGACAATTTTCTCTCATAGGCTGTAGTATCCGTTACGAACTTCAAATACTAAACTTGAAACAATTCCGGTGAATAATGCCGCTAAATCCTCAAAATACCGAATCTCTGTAGGTACCATTATATGGGAACTGTACAAACAATTTTCTGTCATAGGCTGTAGTACCCATTACGAACTTTAAATATCAAATTTGAAACATTTCCGGTTAATTATGTCGCTTAAATCACTAAAATGCGGAAAGAAGGGAGGTACCATTATATGGGATTATAGCAAAACGTGGACGGATATATAATTATATTTACATACATACGCGTGTAACATATTTACTTTGAGTGGTCAATCGTCTCGTTATAATTCACATATATATTCTTGAAATTAAACCTTTTTATTTGTCGTTTTCTTTTGTTGATAGTGAATAATTAGTACGTTGGGAACAAACAAATAAATTGCAAATTGAGTTGTGGCGTGTGTATGACTACAGTTAAAGATAATTCTGGACCTTTTTATTTATCGCACATGTATATGTTAAGATTCATTCGCCAGACCGATTCGTTTTTCTTTTTTTGATAGTGACTAGTTAGCACGTTGGGAACAAAAATAATGTAAATTGAGTTGTGGCGTGGGTATGACTACATTCAAAGGTAATTTTGACTTTTTTATTTGTCGTACATGATCGATTAGCGTTCTATGTTTATATTAAATAACCCAAACATTTCTGCCGAAAAATACAAAGAGGTTCGTAATTGCCTCGTGATTACGACTCGAAAGATTCAATTCGCTGAAGACTATAAAAGACCATTTCTAAAAATAGTTTGCTATGCTTACCACTAATTATCGTCCCACATTCCATATCTTGGGCGAACAGATTTTCAGACACATTCTTTTTAGGTCCTGATCAACTGGAGCGGGCTCGAAAGAGTTGGGATCAGATAACTCTAGAGACTCCAGGCTGGTAAAACCATAGCCGATGCGAAAACGGTCATCAATGAATTTATTTGCGGCAACGGAAGCAGTAGGTAAGTTTATACGTGTTAAGATGCGGATGTAGATCTTGGAACTTGCCAATTTGCAGATCTAACATATTTTTTGTCATTACCCAATCCCTACGGTTAATATAGTGAATTTAAGAGCAAAATTGCTAATTTCATATTTTTAAGCATGAAGGCTGCTGTCTTTAATGATTGGAGCGAGTAGGGAATGATTGCCAGTATTTTTGTTCAGTATATTATCATCAATCTCAACAGAGTCGGATGTACAAACTCCATTCAATGAAGGGGATGTCCACCAATGATTTGAGGTTTGTTTCCCAATTTGTCAAAATCAGTCTAAATAAACTGTCTCTTAAAGAATCGCAAACTATTTTATTCTCAACAACACAATCAAAAGTTTGCATGATATCCCGGTCACATTGTATACAGGTCTTCTTGTTGCACTATAGAACTAACGTAGGTGCAAATGCACCGGAATTGCTCTCCTAAAATAATAGAATTAAAAGCACACAATAGTTTTAGATTTTAAATTTAACATAAAACTGTCACTTTATTGGTAGTATATTAATAAAAAATAATTGAAATAAATAATAAAATAGGGAAAATAGAAAATTTGGCAAAGGAATACCTATGTTACGATATATCGATACGAAGATTAATAATCGAAAGGTGGCGTCGGCACAAATCAGTACTCGTTAGAAAACTGCTAGTTGATGGATCAAAGTTGCAGCAATAAGGAGTAGTCAGTTTTCTATCGAGTATGCAAAATCAAACACAATGAAAATAGACAGACACAAAAGTGGTCCATTTCCAAATAATGGAAATTGATTAAATTAATATTTCTTGCTTTAACATTAGACGAAGTTGTTCGTAATGGTGGTAATGGATGTTGTAGCACGGTTTGAATAGTATGTGTTGTAATATGTATATAATATCTTCAGATTAAATGAAACCTTTTGCAATTAAAATGAAACTTTTCGCAGCGGAAATGAAACATTTTGTAGTAGAAATTAAAATTTTTGCAGTGAAAATGAAACGTTTTGCAGTAGAAATGAGACCTTATGCATTTGAAACGAAACATTTCGCAACCGAAATGAACCTTTAAAATTTATTGAAAGGAGCATAACAAAACATTTTTATTTTAGCATGTTTTAAATAAAATCAACAAAATATTACAAATATAAAAGTAAAGAGGAAATTTTATTGTTGATTATTAATATCTTTATGTTTATAATACTAGTCCTTAAATTTTCAGTTTCACAATATCATAAAGCGCAATTGTAGATGTATAAAAAGTAAAATTTTTGTTTTTCAAGGCCTTATCTCCTTTAATACCTTTTAAAACCCTACAACATGGATAGGAGGGTATATTAAATATTCGTCGTAGACCTCATAAAGTATGTACAATCATGATCTTAGTTTATTTAATGTGTCCACCTGTCTGTCTGTTGTAATTACGATACTGATATGGCATTTTATTGTATTGTGTCTGGAATGTTTGGTATTAGAAACGTTATCGGGATGTTATAAAGGCATTACATTGTGTACGTTATAAAGCGAACCATTCAATAGACCACATAACAAGACTGCTCTATCTCCATAATGAATTTGTTGTAATTTGTTAAAAATCAAACAAGTTGCGGGAATCCTTTAAATAAGATTAATAGTATATGATGACTATAAAACATAATTTTAAAGCATAATTTCGCATTTCAGTCCTGCCATACTATTTATGGTAACAAAGGCCAAAATTTGTTTTAATTTCTCTTTTTAGCGTTAAGTAATTATATGGAAATATTTTCTATAAAATCAATAAAGAACAATTTGTTATTATAGATATTAATATAGATGTTAATATAGATATTGAAAATCAACAAATATTCTTCTTTAACTATATGTTAGAAATAATTAGTTGATTTCATTCTAAGCCTACTAAAAATAAAAATGTTTTGTTATGTTTCTTTCAATAAATATAAAAGATTCATTTGATTTGCAGAAAGTTATATTTCGTTTTCAAAGGGTTTTACTTCAAATGCAAATTGTTGTCCGCTACAAAAGGTTTAACTTCCACTGCAAAAGCTTTCATTTCCGCTGCAAAAAAGTATCAATTCAATTGTAAAAGTTTTCATTTAATCCGAAAATGATATAAATCAAATATTATGTATCAATTCTCATGTTCTGGACCAAAATCTGTTCTGTCTCCATCGTTTGTGGATGTTTAACATCAAGGTATTCCGCAGATCAGATGGTAGATATGTAGTTAAAGTTTCATTTAAACAAAATTTAACACTTTGCTTCTTCAAGACGTACTGCCATGGGTCAATTTTTATGGATAGAAAAAAACCTTGAACGAAATTCATATCAGAATACCTATCTTTAGGTCATATGAAAAAAGATTTCCAACCTAGAAATTGTTGACCATACCCGCTTTCTTTTCTCATCAGACCTACTTTGCAAAACGATTTAATGATCACCATCGAAATGGAGACATTCAGAAAATGTGCCGCCAAATTCTTGTTCATGAAAACGAACAACAGTGTCTGTTCAAAAGAACATAATTTTTACACATAATATAGTTAGTCTTTGTTAGCGTAACGTGGACATTCAATAATTACGAAAATCCTCAGCATATATACGCACATACAGCAACCAAAAACCAATAACTCTTTATCTTTTTTTCTTGTCGTTTGTAAACACGTTAAAAAAATAAAAATACACACAGTATTCTACTTAGCTTAGACATTTATATTACTTTGCTCCTCCTGCATAAGCTTTTTCCTTACAAGGACTCACAAAAGATGTTCTAACGGGGTTTCAATTTGTTCTGCAAAACACTTTCGCTTTATCTTGTGGGTTTGTGGGTTCTTAACTTTCTGGCACCAGATACTTGTTAATGTTTTCATATATCGAAAGACATTCCAATTATTGTATCGATCTTCTGCTCGATTCTGTTGGCTCTCGCCTTTTTGACGACCGTTACGGGGCTTTATTACATTTGTTTTTATTTTCGCCAGTAACACATTCTTATTAGGCTCGTTGTACAAAAACATGTTTCCCACTCTCATTGCTTTCAGCACCGTTTTCCCCTTGCTTATTATGCTTGCATATTTTTCTCCAAATATTACGTCATCTTTTACTGCTACTTTGCCTGCCGAAATAGGTCAGGCACAAATAACACATAGTTAAGCACAACGTCACCCTCATTTATTAGAATTCGCTCCTTCCCATTTGCTAGAATTGTTTTATTACCAGCCAGGGAGATTTCTTCTTGGTGTTTCTCAAACGTCGTAAACAAATTACGGTTAGAGCACAAATGTGGAGTGGCACCACTTTCAAAACGCCAGACGTTCTTATTGAGATTGTTGTTGTCAATCTTCTGATGATTGCCTTCATTCATATTCCTCGGAAAAATTTACTTTCAAAGCGCTAAATTTTGACAAATCATCACCTTGACTCTAGCGCAACTACAAAATTCTCGAATGTTTTTAAAAAAACGCAAATCTGCTCTCGGTGGTTTCTTCGTTCAAAGTGAAACTTATTCTACTTACAAACTACACAAGTTAACTTAACGGTAAGAACAAATCTATTTGCAAGTCAGTATGTGGATCACACTAAGTGATCTTCGCATATTTATTCTTATTATGTTGTATGTTGTAAGAGCGTAACATGGACATTCAATAATTACAACACCTTTAGATTACCATTGTATAAAAGTGCAAAACGTAAAAAACCAGTAAAGAAGCTGAAAATTCGGCCGGGCCGAACTTTGAATACCCTACATCGTTTGGAACGAACTTGGCAATTTTCAAAAGAAAAAAAAAATAAAATCCGTTAAAAAAATCATAAAAATATTGAATGTTACCGTTATATCAGGGTCTATACGCGGACCTGCGACTTTTGCCATAAACCATTAAAAATATCGAATATCGGGTGGTACCGTTATATGGGGGCTATGCGAAGACGTTGACCTGTACCGACAATTTTCTGTCATAGGCTGTAGTATCCGTTACGAACTTCAAATACTAAACTTGAAACAATTCCGGTGAATAATGCCGCTAAATCCTCAAAATACCGAATCTCTGTAGGTACCATTATATGGGAACTGTACAAACAATTTTCTGTCATAGGCTGTAGTACCCATTACGAACTTTAAATAACAAATTTGAAACATGTCCGGTTAATTATGTCGCTTAAATCACTAAAATGCGGAAAGAAGGGAGGTACCATTATATGGGGGTTATAGCAAAACGTGGACCTACATGACACACTTTCAACACCAAAAGCCCTGCAGACATAATACACATTTGAGCAAAATTTTATCAACCTACTTAATTTCGTTTGGAAGCTAGAGTAATTTCCAGAGACGGATATATAATTATATTTACATACATACGCGTGTAACATATTTACTTTGAGTGGTAAATCGTCTCGTTATAATTCACATATATATTTTTGAAATTAAACCTTTTCATTTGACGTTTTTCTTTTGTTGATAGTGAATAATTAGTACGTTGGGAACAAACAAATAAATTGCAAATTGAGTTGTGGCGTGTGTATGACTACAGTTAAAGATAATTCTGGACCTTTTTATTTATCGCACATCTATATGTTAAGACTCATTCGCCAGACCGATTCGTTTTTCTTTTTTTGATAGTGACTAGTTAGCACGTTGGGAACAAAAATAATGTAAATTGAGTTGTGGCGTGGGTATGACTACATTCAAAGGTAATTTAGACTTTTTTATTTATCGTACATGATCGATTAGCGTTCTATGTTTACATTTAATTACCCAAAAATTTCTGCCGAAAAATACAAAGAGGTTCGTAATTGCCTCGTTATTACGACTCGAAAGATTCAATTCGCTGAAGACTATAAAAGACCATTTCTAAAAATAGCTCGCTATGCTTACCACTAATTATCGTCCCACATTCCATATCTTGGGCGAACAGATTTTCAGACACATTCTTTTTAGGTCCTGATCAACTGGAGCGGGCTCGAAAGAGTTGGGATCAGACTCCAGGATAGAG